GCTGCGATCTGCGAAACTGTCGCCACCTTCGAAGGCTGCTGGTGGGTCCAGCGGAGTGAGGCACCACGCAGATCCAGACTACACCTCGCCATCCCTGGGGACGGCGATCTGCGACACTGTCGCCACATTCGAGGGCTGCTGGTGGGTCCAGCGGGGTGAGGCACCACCCAGATTCAGATTAGACCTCGCCATCCTTGGGGGGCTGCGATCTGCGAAACTGTCGCTACATTCGAGGGCTGCTGGTAGGCCCAGCGGAGTGAGGCACCACCCAGATTCATATTAGACCTCGCCATCCCTGGGCAGTTGCGATCTGCAGCGCTGTCCCTGGGGGGCCGCTCTATGGCTGCACCTCTACGTGATGCTGTGCAGGGCGACGACGATAGACAACCTATTGATGGTGCGCGACCCCGGCCTTGACTTTCTTGCCCGCGGCCCACCAGCAGACCTGGCGGAGAAAACTGCAGAAGTTCAGCTCCCGCACTGCAACGTGCAGGAAGGTGGCAGAGAAGCTTGCGAGAGAGCTAGGTCTCGCTCGCTTCTTGCACTCGATATAAGCATGGTTGATCCTGTGATCAGGCAGCAGGCATGCGTTGTTCGAGCTCCTGCAACAACGAAGCAGTCTCTTGCTTCCTCCAACCTCTTGTATCATCACCGCCCTAGTCCTCCTGTCACCCTATGCATTCACGCTGCTGCTGCTGCCGCGATGGCTCATCGGCCCTTCCTATTAGGTTCGTCAATATCCTGTCCTTCGATCCAGCCCCCGATATTGTTAACAAGCCTTGAGACATATTCCTCGTCTTATCGATTGCTGTCCTGAAAGACGTGCAACATTACGTATCACATGTAGCTTGTACTACACATCGCCGCGCATGCGCTGTCATTGATCCTGCTAATGTTTCCCTACTCCTCTTGCCACTTGATACCATTGGGTTGGGTACGTCGCAGGGTAATTTTGGATCCGCGGGTCCAGAGCGCACCTCTTCCGGTCGAAGCTAAGCGGGCCGCGCGAAGCTTGAATTAGGCAAAGAAGAGGAGGGAAACAGAGGAGCGCAACACGGCATGGCCCCAAGAGGCCGCGGAGAGGGCTCCAGACCGACAAGAAGGGCGAGGTATTTTGGGCCAAATCCGGCGGGGAGCGCCAAGCAAACATCAGAGCCCCATGCATGGTGCGCTGGGAGCCGTTTGGGGGCCGTCTGTGGCCGTCTGCGGCCGTCTGTGGCTGCTCTCGGTGCTGTCTTCGGTGCTTCTTGGGCCGTGATCTTGGGGCCTCTGGGGGTCGTTTGGGAGCCTCTCTCAGCGCTTCTTTTCGGCCTCCTGGAAGCCTCCTGGGGCCCTCTTGGGCTGTCTCGGGTGCCTCTTGGGCCGTGTGGAGGCGGTCTGGGGCCGTCTGGGGGTTGTCTGGGGCCGTCTTGGGCGCCTCTGGAGCAGTCTGGGCAGCGTGTGGGGGCCGTCTACGGCCGTCCTGGGCCGTTCTTGAGGCTGTGTTGGGTACCCCGTGGGCCGCCAGGGGCGCCTCAGGAGCCGTCCTGGGGCCATTTTGGGCCCCTGTATGGCCGTCTTGGACGCTATGAAAGGGGGAAGGCCCGGGAACTGCCACAATGTACGGTTCCCCTGAGGAACGGGACAATTGTTCAATACTCGGGCTCTCTTGGGGCTTGTCCTGGAGCCCACTTGGAGCGTTTTGGAAGCCTCTTGGGCCGTCTGGAGGCCGTTAGAGGCGTTGTCGGGGCCGTCTGGGGGTTGCCTGGGGCCGCCTTGGGCGTCTCTGGAGCAACCTGGGCACCGTCTGAAGGGTCGTCTCGGGCCGTCCTGGGCCGCTCTTGAGGCTGTCTTGGGTACCCCGTGGGCCGCCAGGGGCGCCTCAGGAGCCGTCCTGGGGCCATCTTGGGCCCCTTTTATTGCCGTCTTGGACGCTATAAAAAGGGGAAGGCCCGGGAACTGCCACAATGTACGTTTCCTCAGAGGAATGGAACGATTTTTCGGTGTTCGGGCTCTCTTGGGGCTCGTCCTGGAGCCCATTTGAAGCGTTTTGGAAGCCTCTTGGGCCGTGTGGAGGCTGTCTGAAGCTTTGTCGGGGCCGTCTGGGGGTTGCTTGGGGCCGCCTTGGGCGTCTCTGGAGCAGTCTGGGCATGTCTGGGGGTCGTCTTGGGCCGCCCTGGACCGCTCTTGACGAGAGGGCCCCAAATGGGCCTGGAGAGAATCCAACAGCAAGTGGATCGACGCCACTTGAGGGCCTCCTGGGCGGCCGAAGCCGAAAAAGGTGAGAACACGAAACGCAAAGAAAATTACTCCGACGGTAGGACCCCGCACGAGAAACTGTTTAGCTTACCCTTTGCCCTTTCCTCTTCCTCCTGGGGCTCCCGCCTGAGACTTCCCCACAATTCACTCACAGACGAGGCTCCCGCTCGAGACTTCCTCCATATTCAAGTCTCAAGGGCCCAAAAGTGACGACAGTTGCACGTTGCGGATGACCTGCTCGGATTCAAACATGAAGTGCGGGCCCCGTAGGGAGGGGGGCTCCCGCCTGAGACTTCCTCACAATTCACTCACAGACGAAGCTCCCGCTAGAGACTTCCTCCATATTCATGTCTCAAGAGCCCAAAAGTGACGACAGTTGCACGTTGCGGATGACCCGCTCGGATTCGAACGTGAAGTGCGGGCCCCAAGACTTCCTCACAATTCACTCACAGACGAGGCTCCCGCCTAATACTTCCTCCATATTCAAGCCTCAAGAACCCAAAAGTGACGACAGTTACACGTTGCGGATGACCTGCTCGGGTTCAAACATGAAGTCCGGGCCCCATAGGGAGGGGGCTTCCGCCTGAGACTTCCTCGCAATTCGCTCACAGACGAGGCTCCCGCTCGAGACTTCCTCCATATTCATATCTCAAGAGCCCAAAAGTGATGACAGTTGCACGTTGCGGGTGACCCGCTCGGATTGAAACATGAAGTGCGGGCCCCATAGGGAGGGGGCTCCCGCCTGAGACTTCCTCGCAATTCACTCACAGACGAAGCTCCTGCTTTAGACTTCCTCCATATTCATATCTCAAGAGCCCAAAAGTGACGACAGTTGCACGTTGCGGATGACCCGCTCGGATTCAAACATGAAGTGCGGGCCCCATAGGGAGGGGCTCCCGCCTGAGACTTCCTCACAATTCACTCACAGACGAGGCTCCCGCTCGAGACTTCCTCCATATTCAAGTCTCAAGAGCCCAAAAATGACGACAGTTGCACGTTGCGGATGACCCGCTCGGATTCAAACATGAAGTGCGGGCCCCATAGGGAGGGGGCTCCCGCCTGAGACTTCCTCACAATTCACTCACAGACGAGGCTCCCGCTCGAGACTTCCTCCATATTCATATCTCAAGAGCCCAAAAGTGACGACAGTTGCAACGTTGCGGATGACCCGCTCGGATTCAAACATGAAGTGCGGGTCCCATAGGGAGGGGGCTCCCGCCTGAGACTTCCTCACAATTCACTCACAAACGAGGCTCCTGCTCGAGACTTCCTCCATATTCAAGTCTCAAGAGCCCAAAACTGACGACAGTTGCACGTTGCGGGTGACCAGCTCGGATTCAAACATGAAATGCGGGCCCCATAGGGAGGGGGCTCCCGCCTGAGACTTCCTCACAATTCACTCACAAACGAGGCTCCTGCTCGAGACTTCCTCCATATTCAAGTCTCAAGAGCCCAAAAGTGACGACAGTTGCACGTTGCGGGTGACCAACTCGGATTCAAACATGACGTCGGGCCCCATAGGGAGGGGGCTCCCGCCTGAGAATTCCTCGCAATTCACTCACAGACGAGGCTCCCGCTCGAGACTTCCTCCAATTCATATCTCAAGAGCCCAAAAGTGACGACAGTTGCACGTTGCGGATGACCCGCTCGGATTCAAACATGAAGTGCGGGCCCCATAGGGAGGGGGCTCCCGCCTGAGACTTCCTCGCAATTCACTCACAGACGAGGCTCCCGCTCGAGACTTCCTCCATATTCATATCTCAAGAGCCCAAAAGTGACGACAGTTGCACGTTGCGGATGACCCGCTCGGATTCAAACATGAAGTGCGGGCCCCATAGGGAGGGGGCTCCCGCCTGAGACTTCCTCGCAATTCACTCACAGACGAGGCTCCCGCTCGAGACTTCCTCCATATTCAAGTTCAAGAGCCCGAAAGTGACGACAGTTGCATGTTGCGGATGACCCGCTCGGATTCAAACATGAAGTGCGGGCCCCATAGGGAGGGGGCTCCCGCCTGAGACTTCCTCGCAATTCACTCACAGACGAGGCTCCCGCTCGAGACTTCCTCCATATTCAGATAGTGATGATGATGATGATGATGATGATGATGATGATGATGATGCGTTCGATGCCGATGATGGTGAGTGATCGTGGGATGGTGATGGTGATGCTGATGGTGATGATGATGATGAGTGGGGAGTGATGGTGATGGTGATGATGATGCGGAGGAGGAAGCAAAGAGGAGCAGAGGGGAGAGATCCTGCGCGGAGGGTGTGCAGAGAAAACAAGAACCCCACTTAGGATGTGGGGAAAAACATCAATGAATTCGGCCTCCCTGGAAGCGCTCCCTGGAAGTCTCACGGGGCGGTCGGCGCCTCTCGGGCTGTCCGGGGGCCATGTTGCCCGGAGCGGCCCGGGCCCCGCGAGGGGCCCCCCCGGGCCGGCCCGGATGGGGGCCGGCTCGCTGCCGCCGCGCGCCCTTGTCGCGCGCGCTGTGCGCGGCATTGCAGGAGAGAGGATGACGGTGGGTACCAGCTTCGCCTCCCGCAGCTCACTCAGCAGCGCCAGGGCCCGCTGCCACTGTTCGCCCTTCTCGCACGCGCTGATCCCAGCATTGTAGCTGATGACGTGGAGCTCCAGCTTCGCCTCCCGCAGCTCACTCAGCAGCGCCAGGGCCCGCTGCCACTGTTCGCCCTTGGCGCACGCGCTGATCCCAGCGCTGTAGCTGATGTCGGTGGGTTCCAGCTTCGCCTCCCGCATCTCGCTCAGCAACGCCAGAGCGCGCGGCCACTGCTCGCCCTTCTCGCACGCGCTGATCCCAGCGTTGTAGCTGACTGGAGCTGAACCGTGGACTTACGTCCACGACAGCTTGCCCGCGTGCAGAAGCCGAGATCGCTTGCCTGCTTGTCTGCTGTTTTGTGCGCGTAGCTGGAAGCCAGACAATTGTATTCCCGACGTCACTGCCAGCATGCTATAGCATGCTGGCAGGCCTGGCGGTCGCAACGGACCCTCTGTCGCACGCCACGGCAGCGGGGATGGCCGCCAGCCGGCCGCGGGCAATGCAGCGGCTGCTTGTTTTCTGCTGCTAGCTGCTAATTGTTGCCGCTGCTGGCTTGTGTGCTGCCGGATATGGAGGCCGTCCTGGAGGGTCCTATGGCCGAAGCTATTGGGGGCCTCGTTGGGCCGTCTTGGGGCCGTCCTGGGCCGTCTCGGAGTCCTCTGGGGGTCTGTTGGGCCGCCGTGGCGCTCTCTGGAGGGCGTGTCGGGCCGTCTGGAAGCTCTCCGAAGCCTACCGTAATATTCTGGGAGCCCTCTGGGGCCGCCTTTGGGCTCTCTTGGGGCAGTCAAAGACCGCCCAGAGGGCCCTAAGACGGCCCGACGACGGACCGAGACGGCCCAAGGAGGCCCCGAAAGCAAGCGAGGAGGCTCGATGGGGGCCCCCAGAGGGCCCAAGGTGGCCCGCAAGCAGGCCAAGAGTCTCCCCCGAAGCCGTCTTGGAGCTGTCTCGCGTCGAAACGCCTGCGAAGAAAGAGACATACATCTTCCTTTGGGTGTTGGAAAGCTTTGCAATTGCCCTGGTCTTCTGGACAATTCCTGCAAGGCCTCTTGGAGCGTCCAGGGGCCTTTTGGAGGCCTCTTGGAACCGCTTGAGATCTCTCGGGGCCCTGTCTGGCGCTTGTCGGGGCCAATTCTGGCCATCTTGGACATTACCGAAGGCTGTCTCTGCGACGTCTTGGGGACCCAGAGCCCACAGGGACCCAGAGGCAGTGCCAACGCCGCTGGAGGCAGAGAAAGCGATTGGCCCACGCACTTGTCCCAGAAGTGCAGGGATGATGATAGCTTCGGGCTCCAGTTTCAAAGTTTTTGACGTTGCGGCTCGCTCTCGGGAGCCTCGGGTTGAAGAGCTTACTGTGTCACCGTTCGCTCTTAGGGAGCCTTGGATTGAAAAGCCTTTTACTGTACCGATCGCTCTTTTATTTGGTGTCTGTGCGCCTTCTCCGTGGTCCTTGTGGGGGAATTTTTGGAGACCTGCAGGGGCTCTGTTGGGCCCTTCTGTGGCCGTCTTGGGACGTCTTGGTGCCCGTTTGGGCCGTCACAGGGCGTCCTGGAGGCCTTGGACCGTCGGGCTCTCTGGAGGGCTTCATGGGGCCCTCTTGCGAGCCTCGTCGGGCCCTCTGGGAGCCCTCTTGGAGCCGTCTTGGGGCCCTCCCAGGCCTTTTGAAGGCCCCCTTGGGCCGTCTTTGGGCCCTCTTGCACGGTATTGGAGCTCTCTTGGGGGCCGCTTGGGTCGTCTTGAAGGGTTTTGGGGGGCCTCTTGGCCTGTCCTGGACCGCGCAACAACGCAAAAGGCGGATATGCTGACCATGTACATTTCCCCAGAGGAATGTGACGATGTGTGCCTCTTTGGCGTCCTCTGGTGCCCTCTCGGAGCGTCTTTGGGGCCTCTTGGACTGTCTTGGAACTCCTTTTTGAAATCTTCGGGGCGCCTTGGAAGCCTTGGACCGTCTTGGGGCTCTCTGGAGGGCTTCCTGGGGCCCTCTTGGGAGCCTCGTCTTGGAGCTCTCTTGGGGGCCGCTTGGGTCGTTTTGGGGGGTTTGGGGGAGGCCTCTTCGTCTGTCCTGGACCGTATAACAACGCAAAAGGTGGAGATGCTGAAGATCTGAAGATGTACGTTTGCCCATCGGAATGTGACCATTTTTGCCATTTAGGCGTCCTCTCGGGGCCCTCTCGGAGCGTCTTTGGGGCCTCTTGGGCCGTCTTGGGGCCACCTTCTGAGGTCTTTGGGGCGTCTTGGACGCCTTGGACCGTCTTGGGGGCCGCTTGGGTCGTCTTGGGGGGTTTGGGGGGGCCTCTTGGCTTGTCCTGGGCCGCGCAACAACGCAAAAGGCGGAGATGCTGAACATGTACATTTCCCCAGAGGAATGTGACGATATGTGCCTCTTTGGCGTCCTCTCGGGGCCCTCTCGGAGCGTCTTTGGGGCCTCTTGGACGGTCTTGCAGCCACCTTCGGAGGTCTTTGGAGCGTTAAGGCCCGTCTCGGCACCAACTGAGGCCGTCTTGGAACGCTCTTGGACAGTCTTACAACCCCTCTGGGACGCCTCTTGCGCCGTCGCGGGCGATTCGTCCCCGTGGTGGGGCCGTGGACGCGTGATTTTATGCACTTGAGTGCCCACCCTTCTGGCACGCGCTTCCGCCCGCCACGTAGGAGAGACTCGGGCTGACCCGTGGACTCCGTCCACGACATCTTGCCGAAATGGCTCTAGGGGGGAAGGGCGGCAACGCTGCCATCCACATGGCGTGGGCCCGTTCTCCAGCAGCGCCCCGCCTTGGACGTTGGCACTGGCAGCGACGACGACGATGACGGGGGCGCGCGGCGCGCCAGGCGCCGGCGGTTGGGGCCCGCACCCCGTCGAACTGGCGGGGCGTCCCGCGGGCCTGCACAGCCTGTCGCGGCCGAGGAAGGGGGGGGGGGGGCAGAGCTGTCAGCATCGGTCCCTGGGCCCCCCCCCCACTGTCGAAGCGCACCCAGTGTTGTCTGCTGCGTCCAGCCGTGGCGGCGAGGAGACTTCCTGAAGGCGAATTTGTCTGTGTGTGAACTCGGCCTCCGCCGATGTCGTCTGGCCCGAGCCTGGGCAGAGGGTGGCATCCTCTCTGCGTCCATCGCCTGGGCCGCCTCTCGGAAGCACGCCCAGATCCTGTGCCACCCAAACACCTCGCGGCAATGCGCCGCGCGAGGTTCGGTAACCTTCGCGCCCTTGTGCCCGCACCCTCGGAGACGGGCAGCGCTCCGTATGCAGCCATGAGCCGTGTGAGGGGTGCGCCGGGCTAGAGGGTAGAACCGCTGAGCGCCCTTCTCTGACACAATATCAGTTTCTCCTCCACTCTCCATCTCCGCAGAAACGAAACCCGAAACTACAGAGTAAGCGCCAAAGCGCAGGTTGACGAAAGACGTCTCTCCAGAACCCTTTTGCCCACCTAGGACCTCGGAGAATAAACCTCGAGCGTGGTGTTTATTTTCCGTCGACGTGGCGGGCCGACGGATGGTCTTGGGGGGCGTTTTCTCTGCCGACTGCTGGACCCTGGAGAATGGCCTCCGAGGTTACGGACAATTTTTCGTGGGCGTCGTTGATCCGCGAACGATCCGTGCGAGACGTCTGTGCCCCACCTGGAGCCTGGGGGGAAACCTTCAGAGTTGGTACCGGCATTCCGTGGACGTGGCGAGCCGACGAACGTCCTGGGCGAGGGTTAACTGCTCCGCCCTGGGGCGTCGGAAAATAAACCTCCAAATCTGGGTTTATTTTCTGTGGGTGTGGCCGCGCCCCGGGTCATGCATTGGGAGGGTAGAGACGGACAGGCCTCGGTAAAAAATAGCGAGCACTCATGCCACATTCATCTGTCAACGCCTTCCCCTCCCCCCAACGTTCAAAGTTGGCGGTGGGTCTGATGAGTTGCCTCTCGACCGCAGTCTCCCCCGCGCGTGCCAACTTTGAGTTTGGGGGGCAAGGGGGGGTGTTTACTAATTGTTTCCCTCTACCGGAACACCGCAGAAACTAAATCCAGAACTCCAGAGTAAGCGCCAAAGCGCTGGTTGACGAAAGACGTCTCCCCAGAACCCTTTTGCCCACCTGGGACCTCGGAGAATAAACCTCGAGCGTGGTGTTCATTTTCCGTCAACGTGGCGGGCGGACGGATGGTCTTGGAGGGCGTTTTTTTGGCCGACCGCGGGACCCTTGAGAATGGCCTCCGAGGTTACGGAGTATTTTTCGTGGGCGTCGTTGATCCACGAACGATCCGGGCGAGACGTCTGTGCCCCATCTGCAGCCTCGGGGGGAGACTTCGAAGCCGTCTTGCACTCCTCCAGGAGCCGTCTTGGAGCACTCCTGAGTCGTCTTGGGGCCCTGGCCGGAGCCTCTTCGGCGGCCTTGGAGCGTTCGGGGAGGCCCCAAAAGCCGTCTTGGGCCGCTCTCGGCTTGAAAGTGCGAGAACCTGAAATCAGACAAAACACCATGAAACAAATCAATGATTTCTGGCCGCCGCGAGCCATCTGGACGGCCTCTTGGGCCGTCCTGGGGCCATGTTGGGGCTCTTGGCCCGATCTCGGCGCCCCCTGAAGGCGACCCGAAGCGTGCTCGAGCCGCGCGGAGGCACGCCTGGCCGCGCCGGGCCGGGGCCGCGCCAGGGGCCTGCCGAGGCCGAATTTGGATGCTTGATGCGTTCTCCTTCCCCCTTGCGCTTCCCCCGGCCATGTAGGACAGATGACGTCGGGCTCCAGCTTTGCCTCCCACATCTCGCTCAGCAGCGCAAGCGCCGGCTGCCACTGCTCGCCCTTCTCGCACGCGCTGACCCCAGCGCTGTAGCTGACGACGTTGGGCTTCAGCTTCGCCTCCCACATCTCGCTCAGCAGCGCAAGCGCCGGCTGCCACTGCTCGCCCTTCTCGCACGCGCTGACCCCAGCGCTGTAGCTGACTAGGGCTGACCCGTGGACTCCGTCCACGACATCTTTCTGGAATGGTTATCGGAGGAACGGCGCAGATTGTACCGAAAATCTTCAAACACGGCGGCGGCTCGGGCGGCGGCAGCGAGACCGCGCCTTCGTGTCCGAGCTCTTGCAGCGCTGCAGCAGCTTGGCCCAGCGCACTGCTCGTTCACCCCCCTCCTATTGAGGACAGTTTCGAAGTCTCTCGGGGATGTGCGTCGAAGTCGAAGCCCATCTGAGGCGTCTCAGGAGCGCTCGGGGAAGGGCTCGGGAGGCCATCGGGGAAAGCCACCGAAAGCGCCGGGGAGGCTCGCAAGGATCTACAGGGAGGGCCCAAGAGAGCTTCAAGAAAATTTGAAATTCTGTCAAATCTTTAGAGAAACCGCTGTTGGGTCGGCAATCACCTCCAGGCGCGCCTTGATGGTGCGATCCAGTCGCATCACCGCCAACGGGAGGGTTTGTTCGCCATGTCCCATTCTGTTCGCCCAGAGGGTCTGTGGAGGCCTGGGCGAACAGAACGGGACAGGGCAAGGAATGGGGAAGACTTGTCCGAATCTGGGCCCCCCAGATGCTCGTCCGAAGAATGCGGAGAGGTCCCAGGGTCATATCAATTGGCTGCTGTCCCAGGGGTCCGGTCTGCTTGGCCCGAAGAGTTTGCCAAGGCCCCTGGGGGAACAGAATGGCACAGCATATCGGGCAAAGGGGGGCGGTAGCTGGCCTGTCAGACCCGGCGTTCGTCTTCTGCCCAAGCGGCGCGGGGCCCACGGGCCCCAGGGTTGGCGTCCCGCTGGGATTCCTCTTGTTCGCCCACAGGGTTGGAGGAGGCCTCCAGGCGAACAGAATGGGGCAGGACAATGAATGTGGGAGACTTGTCGCAAGCTCCCAGCCCCCCCAAGTGTGCGCCCGAAGGGTGTGGGGCCGCGTTGGCTCCCTCAAAGGGCCGTCTTGGAGCCGTCTAGGCCCGTCTTGAGGGCGCCGTTTGCCCTGATGGGGCCGTCTTGGTTCGTCGTGGGCCCCTCATGGGCGCGTCCGTAGGCCGTCCTGGGCCCATCGGGGTCCTCGTGGGGCTGTCTTGGAGCCGTCTGGGACCGTGAGGGGCCGCCTTGGAGTCGTCTTGGGCCCCTCCTGTGCGCCTCCTTGGGCCGTCCTGGGCCCAGCAGGGGCCGTGTTGGCACCCTCTTGGGGCTGTCTTGGAGCCGTCTTGAGCCGTCGCAGCGCGCCTTGGGTTGTGCTGGGTCCGTCTTGGCCCGTCTTGGGGCCTTCCTGGGCGGTTCCTCGGACCCTCCTGGGACTTTCTGGGGCCTCTTGGTGCATCGGACCGCCGAAACGGCGGGAAACGCAAAGGGTGTAACAGTAAACAATGGAAAATTAACGATTTTTGCCAGCTGGGGCTCTCTTGCCATCTTGGCCCGTCTTGAGGCCCCGAACGGGCGCGTCCTTGGGCCGTCCTGGGCGCACCCTCCTGAGACCGTCTTGGAATCGTCTTGGGCCGTCTTGAGCGCGCCTTGGGCCGTCCTGGGCCGGTCTGGGGCCGTTTTGGCACCCTCGCGGCGAGGAAGCTCGGAGGCGGGCTCGAGGCCTCTTCGGGGCCATTTTGGAAGCTGTTGGGGCCTCTGTAGGGGCCGCGGTTGGGCTCCTTGGGAGCCTCCTGGGGCCTCTTCGGGGGATTCTTAGCGGCCCCTTGGGGCCTCTTGGGGGCCTGTTTGGGCCTCCTGGCGCTCTCTTGGGGCGGAAGGCTCGGATTTTCGGTCCGTGGTCCCGCTCTTGGCCCCCTCTTGGGCCTGTCTTCGGGCCCTCGTGGGCCGTCTTGAGCGTCTCTTGGGTCGTCTTGGGGCCCTTCTTGGGCTGTCTTGGGGCGCCGTCTTCGAGCGTCGCAAAGCGGAAAAGGCGAGAAGGCAAAAATCCTTCCAAAACCATCGTAAAGCGGACGATTTTGAGGCCCAAAACCGTCCTGAGGCGGTCCCCTCGTCCGCCCCTCTCGCTTCGAAGTAGTTTTTAAGCCCCGTGGCACCTCTTGGGGATCTCTTTTGGGCTCCTGGGGGCCTCTTGGGCCTCTCTGAGCCCGTCTATCGCGCCCCTTGGGCTGTCTTGGGGCCCCCTAGGACCTTCTTGGGCGGTCCTTGGGACGTCTTGGAGCCATCTTGGGCCGCTCTTCGGGCCATCTTGGGGTCCCGGTGGCCTGTCCTGGGCGCCTCTGGGGCCGTCCTGGGGCCGCCTTGGACCGTCTTGGGGCCCTCTTGGACCGTCTTGGGGTCCTCTTGGGGACCTCTTCGACCGTCTTGGAGCGGTCTTGGATGCCTCTGGGAGGGTTTCGGAGCGTCGGGAAGCCGAAAAAGCGAGGAAGCAAAAAACCTCGGGAAAACCAATGAAAATCAACGATTTTGGCCTCTCGGGCCTCTCCTGGGATGCCTCTTGGGAGGCCTATTGGGCCGTCTTGGGGAGCTCTTGGGCCGTCTTGGGCCAATCTTGGGCGTCTTGGCCGGATCATTGCGCGTCTTGGGGCCCTCTTGGGCCGCCTTCGGGGCATCTTGAGCGGCTCGGAGCCGTCTTTGGGCCGTCGGGGCGGCCTCCGGAGCGTCTCGGAGCCATTTCTAGTCATTTGGCTGGATTTCCTTCCGGCACGCGGTTCCTCCGGCCATATAGTATAGACTAGGGCTGACCCGTGGACTCCGTCCACGACATCTGGCCGAAAAAATTCTCGGGGCAGCGGCGGGAATGCTGCCGAAAGGATATCGACATGGCGGTCAGCCCCTCGGCTGCGAGGGGGCCTCTGGGGGCCCTCTTTGGC